AACTCTCTCAATATCTCTCTTCGGTGATCTTCTTGATGTTGTCCTCGGTGATGTAGACCTCGTAAATCTCTTCATGACTCTTTTTGCGTTGCCCATTCTCACATCGGATCCGGCAGATGTCGTCTCCAGTGGAGCGACTCTACCACCACCTGATATCTGTGATGTAGATGGCGTGGTAATCACTGCGGCAGCATCAGCAGAGCTAGCACCGGTTATCGAGCCAGGTGATGACTGTGATGCGTTTCCTCCTGGAGCGGCGAAAGAGAATTGTCCACTGCTCTTTCCTCCAGAACTCGGTTGAGTATTGATTGCAGTAATTACTGGTCTCTCAAAGCTCGTAACCTCAGAGCGGCTACGGCTGATAACCTGCATGTGGATATTAATCTGCCCAACGTGAAGTGTAGGTAGACTATCCTCTCCCTCGTAGACAGCGATGGCGCGCACTTGTTGTCCGCTTGCTCTACGGGAGTCTTGAGCCAAATATAGGCGTGACAAGCTATAGTATTCTGTACATGCATATGGTATGCTATCGTTCCACAGCTGTTGACATTAGTTGTGTATTAATATTATATTAGAGTGTCATACATTACTGTATAATTGTAATACTTCAAGCCTGTATAAACCACCCACGTTTTCATGCAAGTCCACGTTCTCATGAAAGAGGGTACTGATGGATCAATCCCCAGCCATGTTTGTCCACTCGTTGGCCAAAGCACTTCTGCACCGCTCTGGAAGAGTCCCTGCCCACGCCAGTGATGGCCCCCTTCCTAAGTTCTCCAGCCAACCGCAGTGGTTTGGAGATGTTTGGACACATGTCTTGCAGGAAAACTGTACTTTGTTCTGTGATCACCGGATTCAAACAACTCCCCCCCCTTGCACGGTCGGAAGGGCGCTGCGATGGCAGTGTGGAGCAGGTCTGACAGTATATGGTCCGTCTACCAATCAGGTAGGAGTTTACAAGTTTACCCTTTCGAAGCACTTGGACCTTGGAATTTGAAACCCCTTTTGTCTAGACGCCTCAATCACTCAGCATCGGGCGGTCGAGCCAACGGTGACTGCGGGGTGAAATGCTATATACTTCTTCTTCTAGGAGCACGGATGCTACTAGGGGTTCCTGGCATCGCTACTAATTAGGAACAAGGACGCGACTAGGGGCTCCTGGCCTTACTACTAGGAGCAATAAAGATACTATTGTATTTTTTCTTATTTTGGTTTCGGGGCAAAAACCAACCCTAAGCATCGAGCGCACGGGTCGCACAAGACTTTGTGTGACAGGCTGCCTTAATCTCTGGCCCATCCCAGTGTGGAGAAACCCGACTATATATATATAAACTCTCGGGATCAGCTGGGGCAACGATAGAGCAAACTACAACCTCACACACAAAGAGACCATGGTTTCCACCTTCACCCCTTCGAGAGTGGGCATGTGTTGGAAAAGCCCCTCCATACCTTGCGTGCTTCGCCAAGGTTCCCCACGAGCCAGGCCCAATTGCCCGGATGCCCAACCGCCATGACCTCCTCCCCTAGCTTGGGCGGCTTTGGCGCCAAGCGTAAGGGCTTCGGCAGCACGAAGGGGCTGGTGCCGCCGGAACAACTCCTCAGAAGCGACCCCACAAGGGAAAGAAAGAGCAAGCGCACGCACCAGGCAGTGGGGCAGTGGGGTACTCAAAATGGTTAAGGCTTATGACAATTGATCGGAACTTTCGCCCAGTACACCATTTAACAGGCCCATGCAGGCCAGCTTACAGTAACGACAAAAAAACAATGGGACGTGAAAGGGATGTGAAATGACTGATTCCAGCAATTCGGGGGTGGCCTGTAGACTCTTGAGCACTTCTGGAAATCAGCCTGAGTTTGGAAAAAAAGACAGCCTCTGTCACATGCAGCCGGACAACAAAAAAACACCCGAAATGAGTTTCCAAGTATACATATAAAAATATGTCACATAATTTATGTCCAATCCACTTGGTTTCACCGCCCGATTCCGTACCCCCCGACGTCCCCCGGTGGCGATTGCTCGACGCTTGACGTCGAGGGGCGTGGTGTGGAGCTCCAGCAGGGCCACGTCGCAGCGTTCCGCGGTGCCCACCACCGAGGCGCGGCAGGCGGCGCCGTCGGCGAAGTGCACCGACAGGAGCGAGGTGAGCTGGACCACGTGGCCTGGGAAAGACAGGGGGAAAGGAGTAATCCGAGATCATATAATATATATATAATAAGATATACAACAATATATTTAATATTTTAATCAGGAGATCCGGTCCTTCTCCATAATTTTATAGGATCAGCAACGAAGATGTGTGTAGAATTATTGACACTCGTTTTCAGCTCGTCTATTCTCCCTGGTTCAACCTCCAACATCATGGAAGTGGCTGGAAGTGGATTGGCTTCGGTGGCATCTGGAAAGAAATCAAGCTACTCCATGCTGCTCTGCAATATCAAACCAACCATTTCTCCAAGGCAAAGCAGCGGATGTTCGAGAAATCATAATACCACATCGGATTGGGTGCATCTCTCTCTCTCTCTCTTTCTCACTGGTTCATTCTCCGCTCTCATCTGCATCATCTGCATCTGTCCACGTATCTCCAAGCAACTGTTGGTCACCACGTGTCCATCTTGCCAAACGAAGCCGGAGCCATGGGAACGCCCCCAAGGCCTCCAAGCATCCATCGCCCGGACCAGTACGACAGAGCCCACGGCACCCACGGCCGGCTCCGGAAAGAACCTCGGAATCCGGTGGATCTGGTGTGAATCCGGTGGACTTAATTACGTCTATATACCCTATAGGGCACCGACCATATCCTCAGAAGGTGGTTAAACCCTCCAAACCCACCGAAACCACCGAACCTCAGGAGGTGGGCCAGGAGCCCAAACGGGATAGGTCAATTGCAAGGGAACTTCGACCTCCCCGGGTGGGACTTTCTGAACGTCTTTGACACGAATCATGTGCGTAGCTCAGAACGTACGGTGTCAAGGACTGGCTACTCTGCTTAGGTTAGATGACATGATGGCATTTTAACTTGATGTATCTTTTGCAAAGGTCACCCTATAGTTCATACCATGTCATGTCATACCAAGTTTGTGCCGGTCTGTCCAAGGGCAAGTCGCTTGCCTGAGTTACCGGTGTCAACAAAGATGATTTTTCGGCAGAATTGGATCGATCCAAAGTCAGAACTTATGCCAGACCCCGTTTGGGGTGGTCTTTGAACCCCTACACGGGTCTGCTGGTAGCGGATCCACAATCGGATCAATACACCCACCTTGCGAGTATAGGCCCGGCGGAGCCAATCCAAGGCGCCAATCCAGGTATCCATAGCCACCCTGCAGCATCCAGGACCTACACCAAGCACCAAACGCAGCCAGCAAAGCCACCCACAGAATCCGTCGGAGACATAGTGCTGACGCCATGGCGGGCACTACAGGATGAAGTATGGACCCACGAAGCATTGAGATGTGTCAAAGGGTCAGAGAACATGTTTGGTTGAATTTTGGGCCAATGGGGCCATGGGTGGTGCTTTATGCAGTGTGATGGGGCCGTGGGTGTTGTTTTGGGGTTCCTATCCGGTCAAAATCTTGGCTGAACAATTCCCCGTGACGTGGAGGATGCTTCATCCAAAGAGCTGGTGACTCAGTGGTGACGAAGCACGTGGACAAATGAAACAAACAAATAATCGTTCTAGTCGATGTGCCTGAAATGAGGCCTAAGGCCTCAAACATTCTGATCCGATAGTCGATCTGCTTCGATCTAGGGTTTGATCAGATGCGATCTTTCCGTAACCAGCTCCCCCTTGTGCTCTGATTCGTCTCGGTGAGGAATGTGGCACGAGCGCAGCTGGCTCTCCCCAAGAAGATGTTCCCTTCCAAATTTGCACAGGAACCTCCAGTCAGTAAAATTTATGAATTCCTCTTCCAAGTGTTATATTCTGGTCGATCCGTGGCGACAAAAGGCACTACAAAAGGCACCACAGAAGGCACTGACTAAATAGTAAATGGTCCACTAAAAAGTGGTGTGAACAACAGGAATGACCAGATCCATTGTGAGCCTTGCGGACTGCCAAAGAAACATTTGGGTGGTTTCAGGGAGTAGCTATTTCGAAGAAGTGTAATTCCATGGAGTATTTCGAAGGCCATGTAGCTTAATGTAGCTTACCACCCCCAAGCCCAACGGAAGCGACAATATTTACTGTCCCATCCTAACATAGAAAAACATGGAGAGGTTCAACTCAATGTGCATGCTGCATGCTCCTTAGGGCCACTGGTCTGGGAAACATTCTCTCTAGACTTCAGTGCATTCTGCCGGTGTTCTTCCGGCAAAGCCAGTGGATCCAACCTTTCACCGCGATTTCTCCCCCCAACGGAGACCATCCCAGTGGCAGCAGTGGTGTTACCGACGTCGAAGCCATCTGCCTTGGTCAAGGCAAGTGTCGGGGGTCCAAACTGGTCCAATCCAAAGGGGTCTGGTTGGTCAAAAGCGACGTTTGCCCAGAAACACAAAAAAATAGCAACATAATTCTTTGACTGATCTGATCTGCTTGTTGGACTGCCCGGCTCACCGGCCTCAAGAAGTGCAGCGCCATCTGTGGCTGGGCGCCACGCTCGAAGGCGCTCAGGAGAGTGTTGTAGGTATAGCTGTCTGCAGTCACCTGGCGGTTCATCGTGGCCTCCCGTATAACTCCATACTCACATCTGAATCTATTTCATCTAATTTGTGACATAAGCTTACACCCAACAAAAGATCACTCTCGGACATCTTCCCCAAGCAACAATAAAGAGACATCACAGGGAAGTATCCAAAACATTTCGTGGTCTCTACCTCGACTCGAAGAAGCTTTGCCAAATCTTCCGGTCGGCGGATTTCCTCGACGGTCCATTGGTTCGTTGGTCCCTCCGACCCCAAAGTGGCCAAACAGGGTTGTCCAGCGTGAAAACCGCGCGCACTTGCCAGATCCGTACATTTCTCCCACCACACCAGCTCCTGAAGATGTTTGCTGTTGTTCACCCCGTTCATGTATATATTTTAATTTGGCCAATTCCTCGTTCTTTGGTGCCATGGTCCACATTGATTAGTTGATGATTTCAAACACTCTTCAAAAACTTAGTTAAGTCCTGACAATATCTTTTTGCGGATCACGCCCCACGAAGAGATTGGGCCAGGGAAGCCATCCAGATGATTCAGGGAGACGGTTTTTGTTTTTTTGTTCAACCCTTCAGGACCAAACCCTCTAAACTTTTCTGAGGGCTCTTACCCATCCGATGAGCACACGACGGAACTTTCATGAACTTTCAATGAGGCGGAAGCCCGATTCTGAGTAGACAAGTAGACTCGGAAGGGGATGCATCTGACAGAATCGAACCTTGGGACCTGCGTGATTATTCCAGGGAGTGTAGATCTTAAACAGTGTACACAGTGAAACTCAAGACATCATACCTTCGGATACCTTCGGTCCCTGGCATCCCCAGTTGACATGAAAGACAAACAAAACATCCCTCTAATGCTTGGGTGGTTCAATGTGGTTCATACTCTGTGTTTTCATGGCTTGGGGTGCCCACAGTATATATTTATTTATATATCATATCTAAATACAGTAAATATACACGTGGAAGATGAACATGGAACCTGAAAACCACTGGGTTGTAGAGGAAAATCGTCCTCCAAGAGTCCATTTTTTCAGGCTCCATGTGGGTCTCTTCCCAGGTGTATGTCTACATCGTTTCTTGACGACACCGACGTTTCATCCTCCGCTTGGGCCCAGCAGCTTGAGCGCCTTCGGCCGCGTAGCTTGGCGAAGCCGCGGCAACGCAGCGACTTCGGGAGCGCACCTGACGGCGGCCACAGCGGATGATTTGTGGATCTATTTATCAGACTATATACTGTTACTAGTGTTTCTTGTTCCTAATAGGGATGGCCTCCATGGCGATGGCCTCCACCTAGTAGCTTCTGGTTCCAATTTCTTCACTTGGTGGCACATAGATAAGACGAGTTACCTCTTCTTTTCGTTGGCGCTGGCGTGTTCAAGAGATGGTGCCCTGGCAGTGCCTTTCGGAGAAACAAAAAAGTAAAACATGCGGACGAGCTGATCAAGTGGTCCCAAGATCTGTCCAAAGGAACGGCGTCCAGCGTTGGACAACTGATCTTTCAATATCCAAACGCTGGTTCCAACAGATCTTGATGTTGTCATGTTGTCCCAAGATCTATGCTTGGATGTTTGGATATTCGGAGGTTGAACAGCATCATGGTGAACCAATGGGCGTGTGTATATTTATATATATAGAGAGAGACTGCACTTGATCGGGCTAAACCAAAACTATTATTCTTGAGTATAGGCAAATGGTGCCATGTGACAATTATGTGTTGGAGTTAGCCAGGTTTGGGAACACTCAGCGTGCTTACATAGCAGCAAATACCACATAACCAGCAAACATGTCAAGTCCATTCAAGTCCAACACTGTTGAGAGCAAATCAAACCATAGCTGATGGTGTCTCTGGGCAACAAACAAGGTACGTAAAACTATGCAAGTCCTCATTCCCAGCAGTCGATCCATTCAGTGCTGCAACATAGATATGATTAGTTGAACTGCCCAGTACCATGACCTGCATACTTCTCGTGGACTCTGGGAACATGACCTCCCCCTCAAAAACGGATCCAATTTAGCCCTGTCCCCAACAGTGGCGTCGCTCCAAACGCCGCGTTGGGCATCCCTGCGCAAGCTCTGCAGGCCGAACCCAACGTGCTCCGCAGAACGGGGTGCTGCGGCGGTTCCACGCCGGCCACGGATGCCGCGGGGCGAAGCAACACGTGAAGCGCCATGGGGCGCTGAAGTCTGGCTTCAGATGAGTAAGTAGAAAAATGATGAACCTCTAGGTCAAGATCCTCTAGCTCGCGGACACCCTTGATAGAGCTATGGGTTTCATGATGTCACCAATGCTTCCACACGGGTCTTCCAGAAGTTGTTAAAGGCGACAGCGGAGGGACGGGCGGCGGGCTGAACACATGCACTTCCTAGAGGTCATGGGATCGCACGGCAAGGGTTTGCAACAAAAGAGACCCAACATTCGGTAGAGTAAATGTCACAGAGCCATACAGAATCATACCACAACTTCTATATTTGTACATTGCAGCTAAAGGTGATCTGCAAGTCCTTCGAGTCATTCAACATGAACTCATATTACTGCCTTCCCCCTGACTCTATTCAGTGTTACTGCCCTTTCTATTTGGAGATCTCCAAGGAAAGAACAACAATCCCTTCAACTGCTTGCATGTATCAAACACAAATTGCTGGTTGGCTCATCTGTGCAATCAGGTCAGCATTCTGCCAGACTGGTGCTGGCAAGTGTTGGTCAGTACCTTCGGAGCCCATGTGGTTCTTTTGAGACCATCTGACAGCGCCTCCAAGGATACAAGAATACCTGTTGCTTGTGGCCAAAAGATGGTTCCCACTGCTGCATAGATCTCTCCTCCATCAGGGTCCACATTCAAACAAAATGGACCACCAATTTGCAAAATACAACATTGGAATAAGAAGCTAGTAGTAACAAGTGCCACGCTAGTAGTAACAGGTGCCTTACTAGTAGAAACAAGAAGCTACTAGGAACAAGTGCCACGCTTCTAGTAACAAAGTGCCTTACTAGTAGTAACAAGAAGCTACTAGGAACAAGTGCCACGCTAGTAGTAACAGGTGCCTTACTAGTAGAAACAAGAAGCTATTAGAATTAAACTTAAATCTAATTTAAATTAATAGCTTCTTGTTACTACTAGTAAGGCACTTGTTACTAGTAGCGTGGCACTTGTTACTAGTAGAAACAAGAAGCTAATGCTTCCATCACCGTGAATGTCCATTCAGCGGATCAACCGACCCACGGGTCGTCGACCGCGACTGGAGCGGAGCACGGCATTGCGGCCCCGGACGGAGACCTGAAGCTCTCGCAGCCGCTCCTGGACCGGAAAACGGATCTCTGGTTTGGACCTGTGGACATACCACGGGATCTAGAGATCCAATATATCTAAGACCTAAATATGTTAACAACAAACTAATCTGAATGTTGAACATTTTGTTGGACCTATGTGAGATCTATGGATCCATGGAAGTATCTTCGAGGGAAACCTCTGGTATCCTAAGCCTTAAGGGTTCACCTATGCCTATGATCATTGAGTCGCAGGTCTTACTTGTGGTTCCAGGGGCAATATCAACACATATATCAACCAGTGAGTGACTTTCCAGAAGTTTGAGTAACTTTCCATATCTATACATTGTAGCCCAGTTTGAGTGACTTTCCAGAACTTCACATTGGTCGTTCCTACTCTCTCTCTCTCTCTCTGGATGTCGTGGCGCTTGTTGGATTTGCAAAGGAATGACCATGAATTATATACCCAGCCGACCGCAACAAAGAGGGAACAAAGGCTTTTGCTTGTCGTATAGATCCCTGCAGTGAGCCCAAACGAACCCT